AAATACTTCAAAAGTATATTTCCTTAAATTACCAGTATTTTAATTTGCTAAAATGTACTATCTTTTGATAGGACTTTTGTGCACTAATCATGAATCTAAAAATGTTTTAGGTACTGGGAGTTAGGAGCGGTTTTTTAAAACGACTGCACTCACTCATTTGCTGTTTCGCGCGCTAAAACATTACAGCCTTGACGAGCAGAAAAGATTCAGCGAGGGACAAATTTCAATTCGACAGAATATCTAGACACTGCTTGTGTAAATGGGAGGTCGTGGTAGCACAGAGTTTACCATGCTTCATGTCTGTCCGATAGGCGTGGCATATAAGTAACTAGACACTAGCCTGCCCGCCTGATGGTCTTGGGTTCGAATCCCCTACTGATTTTTTTTATTGCTCTCAGGCTGACCCAGTCTAAAATGGGTACCAGGAAATATCATGGGGAAAAAAGGAGAGGTGGTGATTACATCACTCAGTGAGTCATAAAATAATTAGCCAAGCTTTTTATGTTCAGGCGCCTTTGGTGGGGAAAAGGTTCTTTACCTCACTGCCTAGAGGTCACAGGCTCGAATTTATATTTAGGTAAGTTCTTTTTTTTTAAATGACCTAGACTCAGTGACCTTATCATCATCAATCACCAAGTCCTTTACAAAACGTCGCTCTCGTTCCGGAACGCTCGTAGGTCTTTCTTTCACTAACCAGTTTTCCAACCCTATAGCTGTTTGGGCTGGAGGCATCGTGTCCGCCTCGAGTGTTAAAGGTTTCGGGTTCAATCCCCGGTAATGGCTAGGAATATTTTACTTGGGCTTATACTTCAAGTAATTCCCCCCCCCCCCCCCCCCCCCGGTCTCTGGATAGTAAGATCGGACGCCCGTGTGCATTGTTGCGCACGTAAAAAATCACTTAATCACTTCGCAGTTGGAAATCGAAAAGAGCAGCCTAACGGCGCTGACCGGGTCAATTTGGAGTTCTATCCAAAGTATTTCAGGATCCTCGCCGGTGCCACAGAGCCTGTGCACTGTGCTGAACTTCTTCGGACTCAGACTTGAGTTAGAATAAGAACGGAGCACTTATGGGTTACACTTGTGTGCTATGATGTTGATCCGTTGTTCAAAACCCCAAAGCCTCAAACCCTATGCGCTGTTATGGCTGACGCATCTTCAATATCTTGCGTAAAGGTCTGCCTCTGCCTCGTGATCCGGAAACAGTACCCTCTATCGCCGTTCTCCCCAGGCCACCGTGATGTTTAACATGGCCAAAATACTGCAGCTTTCGGGGCAGGATGCTGTTTAGGAACGTTTCTCCTTGATACTCAATGTATGCAGGATGCCAGTGTGTTTCTTCTTCTTGGTTTTCATCATGTAAACAGGATGCTCTAGCAAGTAAAGATGGTTATCTTGATACTGATAACATCACTCTCTCTCTCTCTCTCTCTCTCTCTCTCTCTCTCTCTCTCTCTCTCTCTCTCTCTCTCTCTCTCTCTCTCTCTATCTCTCTCTCTTACTCTCTGTCTCGCTCTGTGTGTGTGTGTGTGTGTGTGTGTGTGTGTGTGAGTGAGTGTTCTGGGACCCGAATGAGTAATAAGGAAATAGGAGAAATGCCTATGCCACCACCAGTATCAACAGTTCTAAGACAGAGAGGATGGCGTTATATTGGACACATTCTGAGAAGAGACAGACAGTCAATCGCCAAATATTATCCTTTATTTCTATGCCCCTGTGGGTTTCAGTGCATATAATCCTAAAACACTAATCGTGTAATGTTTCATTGTTCTTTCTACATCGTACAAAAGTCTAACATTCCAAGTGCCAATTCTGGAGGTTTTCCTATGTGAAAGGAGGTACGACGGCTATCCGGGCTCCTTCGGCTTCCCCCACACCGTCTCATACCTCTTCTACTAAAAGAGCCTTTCCTCATCTTGGTTGCCTGGTGTTTTCTTTTTTCTCTTTTTGACTTTTCCATGGTTGGTTGATTTTTTATGGCTATTGTTTTTACAAGATGAGGTAGCTAACCTCAAGCCTAACTCACTCTTTGTCGCCTCTTACGACGTGTCTGGTAGTGTGCAATGTTTATTCTTTGCTTTCCTCGAGGGTCCCCTCAACACACGGGCGATCAAATAAAATGTCTGTTAGCCTACTATAAATATGGAGTTCCGGGGCCCCATTGTGTGGGAAAAATAATAGAACCTCTACCCCTAAAAACATGCTTTAAAAGTCGACTAATTAGAATTGTTTCCATCGAAGGATTGCATCTGCCTGAAAGGCGAAGAACCAACAGCCTGCATACAGCTAAGCCAGATATGTAAAGCCGATGCAAAAATCAAGTTCTGGAACAAGATTAGCCTTTTCTCTGAGTGTAGTCAGCTTGCCAGACCCTCTGGTTACACCCAGGTGCCTCATTATATCCAGGCCATAATAATCTTGTTTCTCTACTAATCCCGTTTGCTGTTAAACTGAAACCTAGATTACCAAGTTTGATACATAGCTAGCAGAGACTCATGGACTATATGTTAAGTATGAGAACCATCCCTATTAAAATACAGAGAACAGATTGTAAATTGACATTCTTGTTTCATTGATTGTAGTAAAACATTAAGTTGTCTAACGTCATAGGAAATATGGAATTTATATGACCCTTGATACAAGAGATGAGAAATCCACCAAAGTTTGCTGTGTAACCTATACATGACGTCACAGAACCAACAACACATCGTTTTTGTTTTTTCATTTGTGATTTTACTAGGCAATTTCACGCTCTAGGCAATTTCACTTGCCCTTACCGCCGGTTCTCAATACCATTGCCAAAATCAACACAAATTGGTCTGCTGCCAAATCGTCAGCAGCTAAAATCGAACCAGGTATCTCAGAGTTACAAGCGGCTTTCGCAACGTACAGCAAAATCCACTTAATTGAAATATATTACTAACAGCTGCTGTAATGACAGCTTGTGAGATAAACTGTCCTACTATATAATTTTGCACGGCTTTCGATCTCGAATCTCATAGCTTTGACTCTTTTTAACTGTTTAACGTGTCCTCTAGTCTGCATTTTTTTCCCATCTAACATTTTGAGCTTTAATCTGGATATAATGCTTTTCAAGTACACTTCATCTACGACCAGAAAATGATTTTAATCAGCACTCTTTGAGATGATTACGATTATCGTGCAGTGACTATCTGCCATCATTGGTGACTGGGGTGGGGGCAAGCCATTTGCCTCGCGCTCTGAAGGTCGTGGGTTCGTGTCACGGCTGCGCCGTTCTGTTCAAGAGTTTACTGAGACCCTGGGAATCGTCGGCGGAGCTACATAGGATGGATCTTGCCGCGAAGCTCTCGGTAGGTGGCTAGCTGTTCTGCCGAGAGAGGCCTAGCCATATAAGATAAAAACCGGTGCAATTAAGAAAATCACCCCGACTTTAACTTTACTCCTGACATATATGTAGACTAGTCTGTGACAGTGCAAGCCAAGACTATACCGATGCTTAACCCACTCCACCTTTCCTTTTCACCAGCGTCGGCTTTAGATTTGATGAGGCGCTAATCTATATAAAGCCCTGCGACCGCTGCAGTTTTACATAACACTAGCTATTCTCAGGGGGAAAAAAAGTAAAATATTTTTATTAAAAGAAATTATAAACAATATGTTTGCAAAAATAAATTATATTCTTTTTCTTCTTCTCTTCCACCTTGTACATCAGCGAAGTGTCATGGCATATTTAACTTTCGTTGATGAGCTCTGTCAAGAGCAATATTAAGATCGATGTATATTTATGTAAGGCTGTTCTCAATGCATCTCCATATTTTCCGAGGGCTTCCGCTCGCTCTATACCCGTTGTAACGTTTCAGTGTGGCTCGCTGTTTTATATAGTACCATTGCATTCTTGTTAGATGTCCAAACCACTCCATTTGTTGTTCTTTGATGACCTGTATGACTGACTTTATTCCTAACATTTGTCTGATTTCGTATTCTGTCTTTGCTTGAAACTCCTGCAGCTCTTCTAAGGCATTTAATCTCTGCTGTCACAATTTTACGTTTATTAGAGGATGTAAGTGTCCACGTTTGGCACTGATAGCATAGAAACTATATAATCCTCAAAAATAGGCTGTATTAAAAGTCAATTGCAGTTGAAATATATATATATATATATATATATATATATATATATATATATATATATATATATATATATATATATATATATATATAAACGAAGTTGCATTTGTTGCAAAAATAAAAAAGGGATTTGCTGAGGCCCGTGCAGGACTATGAGGTCATAAGCTGTAGCTTATTTAGTTTATGACTAAATCCAGCCATGCTTTCTACACACACACACACACACACACACACACACACGCGCGCGCGCGCGCACGCACGCACGCATGTACGCACAATTACACGCATATACGGCTTTTTTTTTCTTAAAAAAATTGATTGGTATACTGTTTTTAATCTGTTTTAAAGCTGCTTTTTAGCTGCACAATAAACATTAATATCCTAAAAGAAAAATTATTATTTAAAAAAAAAAAGGGGGGGGGGGGGTCGTTGGAATTTATTGGAAAGTATTAAAAAAAATAAAAACAGCAACCTGGATGTTTTGAAAAAGGAGAGGACTCGAAGACAACTTATCATAAGCTTCAGAAAGAGACTGTCATCATTTTTTGTTTGTTTTGGCCATGTTATGAGAGAAAGGAAACTGGCTCATGTTTTTACAACTTGAAAAATATGTGGAAAACGAGACGAGGTAGACAGCACGAGCTATTCTTGACAGTCTTTTGTCGTCAGGGAGAGCTGTGAGCACACGAACTGATATATGCTGCTGAAAATCGCAGATTGTAAAGAGGCCGGATAGCTTACCCCAGCTGGCAAGGCACTTAATGGTGATGATAATGACGATGACGATACCTGGAATTTATATTGATTGTCTAACAATTGCGATACAATATATTAACGAAGAGACACTTTTAGTTCATTGGTCCAGATCTCCTAGCAGCACAGAAAGCGTCAAAATGTCGGGCGAAGGAGGATTGTGGAACGCTCCAAAAGTGGTATACAGTAAACAAACACACGATTTACTTAAAGGTTAGAACTGTGGAATGTAAGCAGAAAAATTGAGATTTACTAGCAGAATTAGAGAATGACGTTAATCCGTAACTATGTTCAATATAATATTTTGTTTTCATATCGAGATATAATAAATTTAATTAGGGCTCACATTGGAACTACTTCTTCTACCGGCTACCCGATATTATATTATGAATGGCGGCCAAACAAATAGTTCAAATACCCTAACAGGGCCTCAGTCGTATGTAAAATGCGGTCTTCCTGCGACAAACACATAGCAGGAAAACTAGGATTACTTGACAATTTCAAGAGACGCAACACTGCAGACGATAATAGTAATAGCGACCGTTGACAATTTCGAGCGTTTCTGCAGTCGATACTAGCAGACGATAATAGCGACCATTGGCAATTTCGAGACATGCAACTTTACAGACGATAATAGCGACATGGCGGGGAGACCACACGCTTTGAAGCAGATCAGCGTCTTTGTTGTCCTTATACTTTTCGGCATGTGCAAAGCGCGGTTAAACTCACGGCCGTTAGTATCCCCTGTGCCGCTACGCTCCTTGCAGATGGAGATCTAAACTAAATGCCTGGGACTCACGAGCAAATAAATTGGAGGAAGTTGCAGGAGATGGTGTAGCTGCAGCTTGTGAGTCCCAGCCATCTAGTTTAGCCCCCATCCGCACCGCGCGTAGCGGTGTGGCATAGTCACAGAAACAGGTCCGCAATTAACATATTGCTGAGACCCTGTTAGAGCATTTGTTTCATTAATCAGAGCCGATCCTAGTTTTGCCTCAATGTGTTTGTCGCAGAAAGTCTGCATTCTGCAAAGGAATGAGGCCCTCCAGCAAGTAGTGCTCTATATTACTGTACTTCTGGTGAAAATCATATGTTTCTTCCTGTACAATAAATGATAAAATTGTTTTACCCCAGTAAAAATGACCATGCAGACACCGCTAAAACACTTCAGTAAATTACTTTATTTTGTGTACTGAATACAAGATGGACATATATTCCAAAGTTCAATTATACATGGGCAGCTGCCAGACAAGAACAGAACAACTGAATTCAACAGTTTTTAATAATAAATATTCATAAGCCAGTCATAACAATGTATGGATAGACATCATAACTAGGAAGGGCATGGCTACTGCTCATAACATGCAGTATTCATTGTTAGAAATCATCCTGAACATGGTGAAGGAAGACAACTCTTATCATTCAGAGGTTAAAGGAACCTGCAAAAAATGAACGCGAGGGGATGTTTCTAGGGGCTTCTTGCTTAGGGAAAGGGGGAGGGGGGTGGCAGCAGCCCCTAGTCCAAATTCAAAAACCCATAGAAACAAATACGGAATGAGGTGGAAAATGCTGGGGGTAGGGGGACACAGGGTGCAAGCTGCACATAATAGTAAAGGAAAGGACAGCCTGGCTTCATTTAGTTACAGTTCTATGCTGTAGTGAGTATAAAGGGCAGACAATGAATAAGAAGAATCTATAGCCAAACATGACTGCAGGATGCTATTGTTTTATGGCGTGGAAGTAACTCATGCAGTTGTAAAAAAAAATATGTTACGTTTACTGCTTAGTAAATGAACATAAATATATGCTATAGTATATGTCTTGTACTCTGAAGATATGATGAGGGAGTCAAAGCTAACAAACCTTCAACAAAGGCACATTGAGAGAACACTGAAAGGTATGTCAACTAATTCTATATATTTTTCATACAAGATGAATTTTTTTTTTTTTTTTTTTTTTTTTTTGAGTTAGTTTTTTCTTGAAAAATTAAGTTGAAATTGTTTGATGATGAGATACCTTAAACCTGTTGAGGAAAAATTACCAGCCAAGACATAATCCAAACTATTCAGTAAGTTTTTGTTGTCAACAACAACAAAAACAACCCCAACAACAACCAGCCTAGGCCTATTCCTAACCATTCAGTAAGTTTTGTTGTTTTACGACAACAACACTGACAGCAACCAGCTCAGGCCTATTCCTAACCATTCTACAAGTTTTTGTTATTGTCAACAACACCAATCAGCGTAGAACTATTCCAAACCATTCCATTAGTACTGTGTATCATTACCTGGTTTTGTCCCATTATGCCTCTGCAGATGTGAAATTTGTCTGCCAGAACTGGTTTCTAAGCTCAGGAATGTTTAAAAAAAAGGCTCTGCAAAATTATACTCCGCCCCCATGTGGAAGACATTTTTCATTATTTTGAAGCCCCACCCTTGTTGTTACCAGAGGCCCTAAAATAACCCAACCTATGGGTTTGACAGGGTTTCTTTGACCTCTCCACAGGTGATCCTCATCTGATTGGTGGCACTTTGTGTCACCGGGTGTTTGTTGCTCAGTGTGATGTCCTGGTTTGGTAAAACACAAAGCCAAGTCTCTCCATTTAGATGGCATTTTATTTCGCTTATAGAAGAGTTTACACCAGCTTCACTTGAATAGCAATTCTTCTTCAGAGCTTATGCTACCTAAATATCAGTGCTTACAACTCAGTTATAATTAAAACCCAGTCTTCCAGATAATTTACATGAACTGTTCCAATAGTCTGCCTTTGTGACTGATCCAGCTTTTAAAATGTATTCTAGAAATTTCTGTGGTAAAGTAAAACTGATAGGTGTAGTATAATTACCAGATACACCTAATATGCTGTTCGGTCACCCAACACTATCTTGTCTTGGTCACCTAAAGTCATCTTTCTAGTATTTAGTAACTATTTTCATACCGTGTATCACTTTATATCCCTGGAAGATCATCCATAGTTCTATCTAGATGGGAATCATTATTTAGAAGATAATTCTTTCTTTGTAAATAAGGGCTGTCTGCTGAAAGGAATTCTTTCCATCCAAGCAAAGATTTTCTTTAATAAACTAAGGAGTCATTCATTATACATAATAAAGTATAGTAAACTACTTACTGGTGATGATTTCTGTATATATGAGAACACTATCTATGTAAGTGTTGGTGTTTTGAATATCTATTGTAATTATATTTCACGCAAACAGTGAATCTTTAATCTATAAATATGTTAAAATAACTACATTTCTGCTTTATTAGGACATATATCACCAGCTGAAAAAGCAAACAAACCACACCATTTAGGTTATTTCAGCTGATATTTCATTCAACAAAACAAAAAAAAAATTCCAACTCCAACTTTTAGTTAACTCTCCAACTTGTAGTTACACTTTTAGACTGCTGAATTCTACTCGGACTTGAAAATTAGCTTTGCACTACAATTCTGACAGATGATCATTGCTTTGTATTATGTCCCTTGTCACATTAAATTGAATTATTTGAAAAAGATGTCTATGACTATTTTCTGGACATTTGTGGTATTAATTAAAGGCATTAGTTACTTAAAGTCTTGCTTTTATTTTCAGTCTGACGTTGATGTGATTAGTTACTTAATTTATTATCTTCTCTAAATTCTTAACAGAACTTAGAAGAACTTTAATTTTGGTAGGCATTTTTAGTGCAGATTTTGTGGATGCAGATCTGTTGAAAAGCACCTGTGTTTTTACTTTTTATAGCTTCAAGTCCTTACGTCCTTTTCAGGACGTAATTTTTTGTTATTTGAAGCCCCACTCTGGCTTTTGCCAGGGGCCGTAATATAGGCAGGCCATAAAAATGGCCAAATGTCTGAACGCGGTTTCTGGGACCTCTCCACGGTGATCCTCATCCACATGGTGGCACGTTGTGTCATCAGGTGTTTATCGCTTATGTGATGTCCTGGTGGGGTAGAAAGTCACTCACTCACTACCTAAAATAATGCACTTTAACTGATGTTATCATCCTTAGATGCTCAGGACTTCAGGCTGCACCAGGCCGATGTAGTCTAAACAGGTGCTCCAATTATAACTTCTTCTTTGGAAGTAGATGGAGTACCTGGGATTTGTCATCTTGGCTTGCCATCTTCTTTCTTCTTCTTTTGTCGTCTAACTGATACCAGGTTGTAGCCTAGTATCAAAGTTTTCTGTATTTTTCTAGCATTTCTTGGGCGGCTTGGGTGATCAATTTGTTTTTCTTTTTGCAGGTTTTGGCTACACCATTTATCCATGTCTTTCTTGGTCTTCCTCCAGCTTTCTTCCCAAATGTTCTGCTGTAAAAAGTCTTATATGCAGTTTGGCCTGGTAGTATTCCTACTAGATGGCCTAACCATTTCATTCTTTGTCTGTCAATATAATCCAGAAATGGTCTTATTTCAACTTTCTCTCTAATGTTGGTATTCGTAACCCTGTCTCTTCGTGTGTGGTTAGTGACCTTGCAGAGAGAGTGCATTTCACAGGTAGTTATTTTTTGGGGGTTCTAGTTCCCTCTTCATTGTCTGCGTTTAGCACTGATAACATAAAGTAGGGATAAAGATGCTATTAATTATTTGCTGTTTTGCTGGAAGGGAAATATTTAGGTGCTAACCAGATTACAGTTTATACTCTCAGGGTGGTCAGACCTTCAGGTAGCAGCACAAAGAATAAAAAAGGTGAAAGGAAGAAATGTAACTGCAAACAGATTTAACATGGGCTTCCTAATGAAGGTGTCTAGGGTCAGTACACTGTGAGAAGGGAAGATTAGGCTGAACAAATTATTAGAGGCAGTAAAAAAAAAGGTGCTCTTTAGAATGTAGTAAACAAGGCATGACTGCAAGTTGTGTGAACTGTAGCTCTTCTCTGTGTAAGTGAGCTCAGTAAAAGGCCCTTTTCATGCCAGTGGCGTATCAGCAGTTAATACTAGTCACATATTTGTATAGACCACTCGGCACTTGATGTTGTTAACAACACTTAGGGGGCATTTACTTCCCATGAATGTTTATGCTGTGTCAGTTAGGTTAATTATAAATAATCTGCCTCAGTGCAGATTTGAGCCAGAAACCTTCAAGCCGTCAGGCAAATATCTGATTACTTCACCACAACTACTCTGTCTTCTTTGTATATTCGCACATCAAAGCATGCACCTTAAATAGCAGTAAACTTTAGTCATCTTCTCTCTATTTGCCCCAGTGTCCTGTGCCAATAATTTTAACGATGCCCTAATTAAAAAAACAATTTCATCCAGGCACGAAAACATTTTGTCAGTTGCGCAGTCTTCTTCTTCTTCTTCATCATTTGTCTGAGTGACATAATTGTGCATTGTGCCTGTTTACAGCCTTTTAGCTGACACATTCAACTTCATCTGCCTTTGGTTAGCCTTTCCTGTTGGTTCTGTGGGACATGATGTAGCCTTATTTGTAGTTGAGCAATCCAGCCTCGGTCTTTTGAATAAAGGTTCTCTATACTCACTGGATTTAGTCCTTACTAACTTCCAGTTTCCAAATATATAAAATCAGTTCTTTGGGGCATCATTTTTTTGAATGACTGTGACTTCATTACTGAACTGGGCAGGTGTTTCCAGACCAGAGAAGTTTTGTAATCAGAGCATCATAAATATGAAGAAGAGATGGAAGAAGTGCATCTCTTTGAGAGGTGAATACAAAGGGAAGAAATCAAGTTCATACCAGTTTCTGTGTGTGTGCCTAGACTCTGCAAAATGCCTTGACTGTCCCCCATAAATTTTTTAGGAAAAATTGTTTTTAATTATTTTCAAAATTGTTAAAAGTATCATTGAGGAAAAAAATATACATATTTTCACAGTGTTTTCTTTCCATAGAGGGAGGTAACCTACCTACTAATGTACTGGCCACATCCTCCAAGTCTGAAAGTCTCAAGCGCAAGTCTCACGCTCCTCTACCTAAAGTCCTGAACCCAAGGTAATAAAATAACTAACTGGTAATCAGATTATTGTTTTTTCCCTTGCATGTTACACAATGGTATGTACTAGTGACATTTTTAATCCATCATCTTTTCAGCAATACTTTAATAAGGACTATGTGGTGAATACCTGCATATTTGTTATATTCTTTTTCTAACAACAGAAAGTTATCCCCATGTGGGATGCAATTTTTTTCGTTATTTGAAGCCCCACCCTGGCTTCTGCGGAGCCCTGAATTAACTGTGGCATAGAAATGGCGTAACGGCTGAAAGGGATTTCTGGGACCTCTCCATGGGTGATCCTCATCCGCATGGTGGCACTTTGTGTCACCAGCTGTTTATCACTTGTGTGAGCTCCTGGTGGGGTACAACTATATTCCTACCTATATTCTTTTTGGTGAGTACTGGCACCCTTTGTCTAGAGAAAAAAAAAATCCCTGCTGATAGTGTTGTAAGGATTGTTGTATTGTTTATACATATAGTTTCTGATTCTTTTGCACTGCGGCCCACTTGTATTCTTGGGCCTTTCAAATGACCTCCTGTGTAGATTCAAGCTCATGAAGAGCATATTTTACCACTGACCACCAATTTATTTTTCCAAAGAATTATGCAGCCATATATTTAGAAAACCATTAAATGATGGTTTTTTTCTAGGACAAAAGGTGCCAGATCTATTACCGCTGTATCTGTATAGCATTACTCTCTGTGGTGCCTTGTCTGATACCAGTCTTGTTACATGGTCAGACCATTTGATTTGTTGTCTACCTATAAAGTTCAGGATTGTTTATGTGCCAACTCTCCTCCTGATATCATGATGGCAGACCAACAGGGCAAATCTAAGATACCCCTTTCAATCTCCAAAGAAGTTATAATCGGGGCACCCGTAACAGTTACACAAGCCCTGTTTAACCTGCAGTCTTGTATGGGTAAGGATACAACTCCCTACTTTCATAACAACTGGCTACTACCATAATAGTGCTAAACTACAACAAAAGATAACAGATCAAATGGTTCCAGAGCCACAGAGAGCCCTGTAACGGATGCAATTCAAGCAGAGCTACAGGTCGACCACACAAGTGATGGGTAGAGAGAATATCTGAGAATGAGAAAACCAGCATCGAAAGAATACATACCAAGGCTCACACCTGATGCCTCTTCAAAACCTGATGCTGAAAGGCAAAACAAGACTACAGAAGAGAAAAATACTGCCATAACTAGATCCATGTGCTCTGATCCACTCTCAAATAGCTCCACCAGCATAAAACTACTGATCATGCCCCTTCTGATTGATTAATCAAATGTCATGTGAATGAAATTATGCCTGTTCAGTGTTTTCCCTTTCTGCAAACCTCTGCATCTCTTACCAGTAATCTCACTAGCTGTTAAAAAGTTTATTATTTTCTGCAGGAAACTATTGAGTCTGTTCATGTGCAGTTACATTTCTAACTCGGGCTTAATCAGGACAGCCCTGTGAAGAAAGCAGAAAAACATTGAATATGTTATAATTGTATTCTTTATTGAACAGAATTTGTTCTGGTGGCATTAGAACTAAAGACACTATGCAAGCAATGGGCGCATTTGAGAAACCAGAATATACACCATCTGTTACATGTAAGTGATGTTGTTAGTCTTTCCTCTTGAGCCTACGATGGTGCAAACGGCAGAGGTCATAGCTCTCCATGTCTAGTGGTTCCTTGCCACCTGTTTTAGGTCTTGTCTTCCCTGATGATGAAAACCATCTGACGATGGTTCTGCGCATGGTCTGTCTTGGTCTTCCCCATTTTCTTTTCCCTTCTGGTTTCCATTTTAGGGCCTGATGGGGGAATCTTTCTGAATGTTTGGCTGATGTTGTCCCAGTGGCACTTTCTTATACAATTGAACAAGACATTATCTTGCTTGGTCTCTTGTCTTATTTGCATATTGGGTTTGAAATTTGTTCAGTGGAGATTTAGTAATCTTTTAAGACATCTGTTCTCAAACGTCTAATTTTTTTTATATACAGCTACCGTTGATTCTATAAGTGATGTTGTTACTGGGTGTTTGTTTAGTTTTTCTTCCTGAGTTTTAAAATGTAGCAGAAGTTTCATTTATCATCATGTACTTATAATTTTATTTTATTTTTAGCTTGTAAGAAAGATGCCTGCGCAGAGTAGAAGAAATTAAATCAGGATAGAATCAACGGTGCTGAGCTTAGAGAGACAACCAGGGCTTTGTTTTTCTGGTACTCAAAACAGTGTCTAATAAAAAGTGCTGGTACGCACCACAAAGTGTCTGTTATAGTAGTGTTGAAAAAGATTATGTATAAAAAAGTGTCGGTACTGCGTACCATTGTGTACCATCAGAAAAAAATAGCCCTGGAGAGAACTAAACAAAATCCAGTCAATCTTGAGGTGAGGAAAAGATGCTGGTATTGGATAGGACTCACATTGAGAAAATTTGATGCAAGTACAATTAGAATGCTCATGCACTCGGACCCAGAGGGCAAAAGAGATTTATTTCAATCTCAGGCAGTTATTTCTTCACTGTTTGTCCTCATTTTATTTCTACCTAAGAGCAACATATTTGAAGTTATGTGGAATTTACAAATAAACCTTTGAGACAGAAGCAGTTAGGAAACAATTTAAAAGATATCAGACCAAACGAAAAGTAGAACTAGTAAGCTTAACATTAACAGAGTCACAAATGACAAGTTTGCGGTTCAAAAACCTTCATCAGCACCCTACATGAACAGATAATATTACAAATGTAAACGAGACACACAAAATCACTTAACTGAAGTATCTTTGAGGGAAATCACATTTCTCTGTGACCAGTGGAGGCTCCGTCACACGTGTAACAGTTGTTACCATTGAGTTACAGTAAAAATTGATATGAAAACAGATTAACATAACAGAAGAATGGAGCAGAAAGAGTACAGTATTCCCTTCCTGTGTGGGTTCCAGGGCCCTATTGTGGGGAAAAACAAGAATAGACCCACTTCCTTCCCAAAAGCATGTCATAAGTCATCTATTTGGGTGCTTCCCTTGAAGTCGGAGTGCATCTGCCTGAGAGGCTAGGAACCAGCAGTCTGCCTACAAGGTAGTCAAATCTGTAAAATAGATGCGCATGGCATACTCAGGTTGTGGAATGGGGCTAGAGACCAGAAGTGGATAAATAAACATAACTTTCTGCTCTAGGTTACAGCTGGTGAACAAGAAAAAGAAGAAGAAGAAGATGTACAGTATTGTTTGCTATTTAAGAAGTGACAAATGAATCTATGAGTACCTTGCTACTGCAAGAGTTAGGGGAGACCAGAAGACAGACAAATAAGAATTTGAGAATAATATGAGCAGGACTTGGAGAGAGCTTCAGATGGCAAGAGGTAAGATGCCTTAGCAAGAGCTGTTGATGGTATCTGTTCAGTGAGAGATAAGTGGAGAAAGAAGGAGAAGAATAAGTTGCATGCTGTATCTGGTCATAGCCCCTAAAGTATTCCTACCAGAAAAGCAACTTGCAATAGAATTATAACATGTCTATCTCTTGTGTGAATACAGAAGTTCAGTTGAGTTTCAAGAACTGAGATTTCCATAAGCGCTTCATCCCCATCTTCAGCAGCCAGCAAAGAGTTTCAACTCTAATGGTACCAGTAGAAATCTGATTGTAAGTCTGTCTTGCCTTTCCCTCTCATGTGGAGGGTTCAGCCAGATCTCCTTGCTGTGGAAGTGGAGGACAAGGAAAAGCACCACAATTTCTAAATAAATAAAGGACAAAAAAAATATTTATAAGGTTAAAAAAAAATAATCTTTACGTCTTAAGATGATTCTGTGTCTTAGGCATTGGGCGCTTTGTCTTAAGATGATTCTGTGTCTTAGGCATTGGGCGCTTTGTCTTAAGATGATTCTGTGTCTTAGGCATTGGGCGCTTTGTCTTAAGATGATTCTGTGTCTTAGGCATTGGGCACTTTGTCTTAAGATGATTCTGTGTCTTAGGCATTGGGCGCTTTGTCTTAAGATGATTCTGTGTCTTAGGCATTGGGCGCTTTGTCTTAAGATGATTCTGTGTCTTAGGCATTGGGCGCTTTGTCTTAAGATGATTCTGTGTCTTAGGCATTGGGCGCTTTGTCTTAAGATGATTCTGTGTCTTAGGCATTTGGCGCTTTGTCTTAAGATGATTCTGTGTGTTAGGCATTGGGCGCTTTGTCTTAAGATGATTCTGTGTCTTAGGCATTGGGCGCTTTGTCTTAAGATGATTCTGTGTCTTAGGCATTGGGCGCTTTGTCTTAAGATGATTCTGTGTCTTAAGCATTGGGCGCTTTGTCTTAAGATGATTCTGTGTCTTAGGCATTAAGCGCTTTGTCTTAAGATGATTCTGTGTCTCAGGCATTGGGCGCTTTGTCTTAAGATGATTCTGTGTGTTAGGCATTGGGCGGTTTGTCTTAAGATGATTCTGTGTCTTAGGCATTGGGCGCGTAGTCTTAAGATGATTCTGTGTCTTAGGCATTGGGCGCTTTGTCTTAAGATGATTCTGTGTCTTAGGCATTGGGCGCTTTGTCTTAAGATGATTCTGTGTCTTAGGCATTGGGCGCTTTTTCTTAAGATGATTCTGTGTCTTAGGCATTGGGCACTTTGTCTTAAGATGATTCTGTGTCTTAGGCATTGGGCGCTTTGTCTTAAGATGATTCTGTGTCTTAGGCATTGGGCGCTTTGTCTTAAGATGATTCTGTGTCTTAGGCATTGGGCGCTTTGTCTTAAGATGATTCTGTGTCTTAGGCATTGGGCACTTTGTCTTAAGATGATTCTGTGTCTTAGGCATTTGGCGCTTTGTCTTAAGATGATTCTGTGTGTTAGGCATTGGGCGCTTTGTCTTAAGATGATTCTGTGTCTTAGGCATTGGGCGCTTTGTCTTAAGATGATTCTGTGTCTTAGGCATTGGGCGCTTTGTCTTAAGATGATTCTGTGTCTTAGGCATTGGGCGCTTTGTCTTAAGATGATTCTGTGTCTTAGGCATTGGGCGCTTTGTCTTAAGATGATTCTGTGTCTTAGGCATTAAGCGCTTTGTCTTAAGATGATTCTGTGTCTCAGGCATTGGGCGCTTTGTCTTAAGATGATTCTGTGTGTTAGGCATTGGGCGCTTTGTCTTAAGATGATTCTGTGTCTTAGGCATTGGGCGCTTTGTCTTAAGATGATTCTGTGTCTTAGGCATTAGGCGCTTTGTCTTAAGATGATTCTGTGTCTTAGGCATTGGGCGCTTTGTCTTAAGATGATTCTGTGTCTTAGGCATTGGGCGCTTTGTCTTAAGATGATTCTGTGTCTTAGGCATTGGGCGCTTTGTCTTAAGATGATTCTGTGTCTTAGGCATTGGGCACTTTGTCTTAAGATGATTCTGTGTCTTAGGCATTGGGCGCTTTGTCTTAAGATGATTCTGTGTCTTAGGCATTGGGCGCTTTGTCTTAAGATGATTCTGTGTCTTAGGCATTAGGCGCTTTGTCTTAAGATGATTCTGTATCTTAGGCATTTGGCGCTTTGTCTTAAGATGATTCTGTGTCTTAGGCATTTGGCGCTTTGTCTTAAGATGATTCTGTGTGTTAGGCATTGGGCGCTTTGTCTTAAGATGATTCTGTGTCTTAGGCATTGGGCGCTTTGTCTTAAGATGATTCTGTGTCTTAGGCATTGGGCGCTTTGTCTTAAGATGATTCTGTGTCTTAGGCATTGGGCGCTTTGTCTTAAGATGATTCTGTGTCTTAGGCATTAAGCGCTTTGTCTTAAGATGATTCTGTGTCTCAGGCATTGGGCGCTTTGTCTTAAGATGATTCTGTGTGTTAGGCATTGGGCGCTTTGTCTTAAGATGATTCTGTGTCTTAGGCATTGGGCGCTTTGTCTTAAGATGATTCTGTGTCTTAGGCATTAGGCGCTTTGTCTTAAGATGATTCTGTGTCTTAGGCATTGGGCGCTTTGTCTTAAGATGATTCTGTGTCTTAGGCATTGGGCGCTTTGTCTTAAGATGATTCTGTGTCTTAGGCATTGGGCGCTTTGTCTTAAGATGATTCTGTGTCTTAGGCATTGGGCACTTTGTCTTAAGATGATTCTGTGTCTTAGGCATTGGGCGCTTTGTCTTAAGATGATTCTGTGTCTTAGGCATTGGGCGCTTTGTCTTAAGATGATTCTGTGTCTTAGGCATTGGGCACTTTGTCTTAAGATGATTCTGTGTCTTAGGCATTGGGCGCTTTGTCTTAAGATGATTCTGTGTCTTAGGCATTGGGCGCTTTGTCTTAAGATGATTCTGTGTCTTAGGCATTGGGCGCTTTGTCTTAAGATGATTCTGTGTCTTAGGCATTGGGCGCTTTGTCTTAAGATGATTCTGTGTCTTAGGCATTTGGCGCTTTGTCTTAAGATGATTCTGTGTGTTAGGCATTGGGCGCTTTGTCTTAAGATGATTCTGTGTCTTAGGCATTGGGCGCTTTGTCTTAAGATGATTCTGTGTCTTAGGCATTGGGCGCTTTGTCTTAAGATGATTCTGTGTCTTAAGCATTGGGTGCTTTGTCTTAAGATGATTCTGTGTCTTAGGCATTAAGCGCTTTGTCTTAAGATGATTCTGTGTCTCAGGCATTGGGCGCTTTGTCTTAAGATGATTCT